ATATTATATAATAATAAGTCACTTTTTTATTGAAGCCACAATAACAAATATTATAACTGGCCTATTGATATTTAAATAGAAAAATAATATAATATTAAGTTTTATACTGTATTAAATGTATAATTAAATAAGATGGTACAATTATGATAATTTTAAGTAATTGTAGGTGGACTAGAGATTATTCTGTTCAACAATCTATATTGATACATAAGAGCAAATTTAGGTATATTTGTTTATTAACGTAGAGCCTAAACTATAATAGCTAGAGACATAAAATGTTCATGACAACATTGTACTACCACGTAAGTTCTAAAAAAAAAAACCCAGCTACCTATTTAAAATAAAGGTATATGAAAATGAAAATATAATGAATATCAGGTACAACAAAACTGTCCAAGGTGATCTAGTTTATATTTAAAAATGCTCACCCTTTTTTTAATTAAAATATTCAGTAAATAACTATTTAGTTAGAATAAGTAGCTTAAGACTTATTACATTTTATGTAGGTACTAAAGATAATAGTGAGTTATGTAAATTTACACAGTGCTACGAAATTGTAAAATATGCTTGATAAGTATCAATATATCATGTAAAAATGTAACATGAATACTAGGTATATAATATATTACAACAAAATAAAGAACCGAAATGAAATTAACTATGTTGTGCATTAGTATTATATTATGTAATTGTGTAATTTATATTATTATTAAATGTATATAGTATCTATACCCAACAAAATTAATCTCATCTTTATTATTTACATAGGTAGGTACTTTAAATTTAAAACTTATTAACTAGAGTTAGAGAGGCTCTCTAGGCTCTCTAGGTATGGTACCTAGCTGAATATTATTAATTAAAAGAATATAATTCATTATTTACTTCACAAAGGTATGAATTATCTGTCGGAGTCCAATTATCCCTCTTAACTCTAACAGCCCATAACGCACGACGCTCTTTATTTCTAGGGAAAATATTCATTTTAAATCCATTTTCACTCCGGTTATGACAACCATAAGCACAACAACCCGGCATGATAATGATTACCTATATTATATTATATTATATTATAATATATATATATTCAATGATAATACTTTAGTCTTTGAGAAAATTAATAAATCAATAAACTAATAATATTTCACAGCAGTTTCCTATACAATATACGTCAATACGTAGTAGGTACTCGATAGTCGATTGTCGATTTGAAAATTATCGGAACATTCGGAACATTTTGGACGAAAAATGGTGCCCATGAACAGTGATAACAGCCAACCAATAGAAAACGTTCAGCTGGTTGACCACTCTCTTATTATCTAGGCTCTCTAGGCATAACTAGACCTTAGTTATAGGGGTTTCAGCAATAGTATTTTTATAATAAGTAAATTATATGGGTGTAGATCTACCAGAATATTACTTATGACAGGGTTCTAAAATAAAAGTAAGGGGGATTAACCACCCCCCAGGTTACACCTATGTCCAACCTTCACCAGCTATGTACTGTGACGAAAGCATTTCGCAGTTTCTCATTGGTCAACCGCTGCCGTCGCCGAAGACGATGACTCCACTACCACTTCACCACTCAAACACATGCGTATCGCTCACATACCTATAATACTCTTTATAGAATTTAAAAAAGATAACAAATTTAGTTATATACGCCCTTTTGATTCAGAATAATATACTAGTTAACTTAGCATTGATTTGCATTTTTGGCATTTTGCCCCAAAAATACATTTTTTTGTTTTTTATCGAAATGTTTTGATATTTTAAAATAATTGTTGGATATTATCATAAGACATTTTAATAGTAATTTTACAATGAAGGGAATATTTCATAAATTTTAAATGAATGGGTTTTTGTTGTATAAATATATTTTTTTGTTTATTTTCAACTGTTAAATTGGTTTCAAATAATTTCATACATTTTTTAACTGTAAATTAAATTTAAAATTTAAATGTTTACTATTGTCTATTTATTGAAAAATTCATATTTTAAGTGGCTCTGATACTCATTATCACACCTATATTTCTAATGTGAATTATAATTTTTTAATTCAATTTTTTCCACTTATTTAAGTAGATTTTTTCAATCATTTTTTTAAGTTGTTATAACTATTAATTGTAATATAATCTACCCATATTACCAACTGGTTATGAATAAACAAGTTCGCCTGGGACTAAATATTCTATAACATTTCAGATTTCGAATGTAATCGTTAAATCGTCTATATTTCAGCTGTTTTAACAACTTAACAATAAGAGGTTTAAAAATTAAAATTTGTGTAAAATACAATAGTCAATAGTTATTAGTCAGGTATACGAATACTACGAGTTCGATAATCAAATAGGTAATAGGAAAATATAAAATAATATTCATTGTTGATGATTGTGTTTTTCCTTTTAGATTTTTCCATCTATTAAGAAAAATATTATAATTTCTATGCCGGAAATTACTTTATTTAAGGATTATCGTCTCAATTTTTTTAAAATCTTATTTTCATAGGTTTTAAGAGATTTAAATCCAAATCGTATACTAAGAACATGGCGCAATAGTCAACAAAATATGGCATTAAATCATAGTCTTGTACTTCAAGTTATGCGGATTATTGAAGGGTCTTATAGTAAACATATATATTATAAAAATTGTAGATTATGTTGAAGTTCGACACATTTCCTAAAACGTTTTATTTTATTAGGTATGTTTCTTTATCTTTATATGATGTACTTACTGTTCTTATTGTAATTTGTTCGTTACATTTTTATTAAAGTTACGTAGTCTATGGTGTCTTACGAGTTACGGTTGTCTTATTATGTTTTAATTAAATAAACTATTAAAGTGATCTAAGGCGATGTGTTTTCCTTATTTATTTATTTTATAATTCAATAGATTAGAATCGTAATTAACCTAGACTTGTAGGAACCCCGATATTTAATATCATATTTCAACTGTCCAATATCGCATGTTATATCAACAAGTGTTTTTTACTTTTTATCGACTAATTATTTAACTAATTAATAAAAATAGCGAAAATCAAGCGTCTTATGATTATAAATAAAATTTTCTTCTTCAATTTCTATAATAGTTGTTTTCACTGTAAATCACTTAAATAGACTAGCCGTGTTTGTTTAAGTACAAAAACCATGTTTTTAGGCCATATTTTGTTCACTAGTTTGCTCTCTAATTTCTATTTTACAAGAGCTAATCTTTGACGACATAAAAACCCACATAAAAGAAATAACGAATAACAAATGGCTTCAACTTAGGGAACCAATAATACACCAAATTAAATTCCGTTTGAAAACGCTTTCGAGAAAACGTATTGTTCATGTATTTAAATCATCCGTGGGTAAATAAATAAATAAATATATAAAATAATATATTTATGTAACCACAAAATCGTAAAAGAAAAAGTAATACTAAAGAAGTAGTCTAGAAAAAGTGATTTATCAGGGGTGCATAGGGTAAAATGCATCATCAAAAATGAGATAATTTAAAGATGTCAAGTTGAAATATTAAATGATCTAACTTTGTAAATTGATGAATTATTAAATACAAATTATATTGAAATTAAAGAATGAGGAAGATAATATTTTAAGAAGTGTCTGGCAATTACTTACTTTAGGCAGTTGGGATTTGACTGTGCGATTTATTATTATCATTGTTTATTTTACAAATTTATTTTTAAAAAAACATTTTTTATAGTATACTATTTTTATACAATTGTAAGTACTTTTTGTGGGCACAACCCATGGTACCAGTACCAATTATCTATCTTTAGTTAAAAAAAATTCAAATAAATTTGTACAAATATACTAGCAATAAGATAGGAGTATATATTTTAAAAAAAAACCTTAAATTAAGAGTGTTCAAAATGTTTGAATACAGTGTAAGATACGTTACATACAGTAAAAGATATAACATCAAAAATATTCAACTCATCCCAGAAATTAATTCCTACGGATTAAACTGATAAAAATGTAAAGTTTAATTAGCATACGTTTTATTTGTAATTCATTGGTCAAATCATTGGTTTTCTAAATTTATAATTTAAAGATAACTCAGTTTTCATCTTTGGTTAACATTTTTATTTTGAACAAATTTGTAATTTATAATTTACTAATTTTGTTATTTCAAACCCTATTCAATTATAAATTGTATATTATAAGTATTTTAGTTAAGTTTGTAATACCTTAGGAAAATAATTTAAAATTTTTTGAATAAATTTTTTAAAGAGAATTTTATAATCTATAAATATAAAATTCAAATACCACTTAGACTCTGATCACTGCAACTCAAAAACTACGCAACGTACAAACTTGAAATTTGGAATAGAGGTTCTTCTCATATTTTTACTGTGCATTAAGAAAGGATTTTCAAAGAAGTTGCATATTTGTGGAGAAATTAACAATTATGTTTCTATTGTGGCTGCCCACTGTCTTTTAGCTACCTGCAACTTATCATTTTTGTCCTTCATGTAAACAAGAATTGTTCCGAGAAGTTACAAGGATACATTGTAAATATGAAAAAACAACCAAAATACACACGGGCGACGCCTAATTCAGCTAGTTAAAGTATAACTAAAATGTTATATCCTAATTAAACGTCATTATTATTTTGTGTCCGAGTCTTATCATAATTTAACATTCTAAAACTAATAAGGTGAGGTAGTTTATGATTTTTATGATAATATATAAACATATAAATATAATATAATATAATATATTTTAGTTGATTTTAAAAATTAAACAATATTTTTCAATCAATGTATACATGGATAATAATGGTATAATACAATTTTGGTAACAACAAAATACATTTTCCTCTGTTTCTAATTAATATAATATATATTTTATAACATAAAAAGCTGAGGTTCAATATAATATCCAAACAAATAATTTGTGTTTGCTATCTAAATTTGCACTGTTTAAGATAAAGAAATTTGTGATGTGCACAAAAACAATCTTAGGCAAGTGCAAATTTGTGGGATCAAAGAATGATTTTCAATTAATACAATAAAGAAGAAAACATCAATTAGAATTTATTACTTATTATTTAGTCCAACCACGCCACATTGACGCTAAACTGGCTGCTGTACTCGCCACAAGTCCTGCTCTAACAACACTACTAGTAGACTGTGAAGACAATTGATTATGATCTGCAGGGTATTCCACGTTTGGTACCTTTAAAAAACAGAATTTAAAAAATTGGAAATGTAATTTGTCAATAATTTTAAACTCACAGCTTCCCATTCATAATAATTGTCTTCTTCAGAGTCTGAGTCGCCAGTACATGAAAATAATTGAAAAGTTATCTTATCTTCAAACGCAATGCATAGTTTACTATCAATGTCTGGTGGATCCACCCTAAAGCAAAAATGTTATAACAATTAAGTTATTAAATCAAAATTATTTTTGAGTAAATATTAAATACATAATGTATATTATGTGTCATAAGAAACTGTAAAGCAGTATTAAATTAATTAATTTTCTTAAGTTGTTCGAAAACTTAGTTAAAATATTGATGGTTAATAAAAATTTTATTTTACCTTCCTAGATCACTAACAGATGTATCCAATAGTTGCAGCAAATTTTTTAGTGTATGATCAGGATGTAGTAATTTAGGGTCAACATTTTGTGAAAAGCACAAATAAAGAATGTTAGCATTCAAGTGGGTAACATATTTTGCAAATTTTGTTTCGTTCAGCTCATTGCCACAAAATTCACTACAAATATATAAATATTAAGTAATATACCTGAACTCTAAGGTATAAAGCTTATGTTTACCGATTACAGTACCTAAAATTTGGACGCCTAGGTAAAAAAACGTCTATAAAAAAAGAAATTTGCTTTACTAATTGCGAGGTATATGTAAGAGCAGCGCTTATTGTACACGCAGGATTTGGTTCAATAAAAGTTTGATGAAATGCATAATCCCTATTCTTATCTGAAACTGGAAAAAAAATAAAAATGAAAAAAGCGTTATTAAACTGTACTATTGCTTAAATATATTAGATACATTTATTTTAAATATAAACCCCATTCATTATATGCAGAGTAGTCTCCATTTGCTGGTAGAGTAGGTGCAACGATGCGGTATCCAAGTTCTGTTTGTCTTGACCATTCTTCACAAGTATCTACCCATTGGCCGCATACATATGTAAGTTTCGAAGCTTCTGCTAATGCATGACTTAAACTATTATTAACATCCACTTCTTCATTCCTATCACAAACAAAAAGTATAACTAATTTGAACACATTTAAATTTAATTGATGTACTGTAAAAAAAATAATATCAAAAATTTTAAAATAAAATATAGTAAAATATTTTTAAATACGTATTTTAAATGCCAATAATCTGATAATCAAAAATGTCTTACTTAAACATAAAGTAACAAAATGAACATTCCAAATGTAGCAGTTCCAATATTGTGTAGTTACCTTTTATATTAAAGTGAATAAAATAAAATAAATAAAAATAGGTGATTAGTGATTACCTATTAAAAGATAAGAACATTATCTGTGTTCTCTTGTTGGTTTTTTACAATATTTCAATTTTTAAGTTAATTATGAACATTTAAAAATATTACTTTACATACTCAACTTGCAAACAAAATAAATCTAACAATAGAACCCAGAAAATGTTCTTACCTTTATGTTTCATAATAGGTAAATTTACTTAAATATTTATGATAATAACATAAAATTGGAACTGCTAAATGTATTATGCATAACTAATATGAAAACAACACAATATGTGAGTGTGACGCCCTCTTAACAATAACCAGATGACTAATAGGATAAGTCTAGACAACTTTCATCACTTCCTTTTTATATAAGTAATATACACAGGAATTATACCCACATGATGCAGATTATTGTATAGGGCAAAATATTAAATTTTTATCATAAATATTTGTTTGGCTGTTATCATACATTAACATAATTTTAAAATAGATTAACTTATCTATAATCAAACTACAATGATGGGGAAATTACTTTTTTGCTAGTTAAATTACATTACTAATTCCTTATCAAAATTGTAACGCAATTATTTTTAAGTTACTTCATTTTAATTAGTCAATTTACATTACTTTTGATTTTAAAATGTAACTAAATTACAATAGAAGTTACCTTTTTAAAAAAAACATCACTGGAGCTTAATACGTTATTAGGTTATCACGAAACAAATTTAGTTTTTGGTTAGAACTGTATAACACTTAAAGAAACAAAATTCAAAAGTCACCAAAATTCTAGCTCTATTAACCATTTTGTAAATATGACAATACATAAACAAAATAATAACAATCAACAATATGAAATTATTAACAGAATCATTTTGCCACACATTAATCTCCATTTTCAAATTTATTTTAAACAATACAGATAAGAATTACTTTCTAAAAACAACACTTTATCGTCAAACAGTCAATTATAGCTGTAACAACAATTTCAGAGTTTAGAAAATATAATATTACACATAATATCTACACACATTATCAATGAGTTTTAAAAATAAAGTAACGAGTAATTTTAGTAATTTAACTACAAAAAAGTACCTTAAATTACATTTGCAACTTTTGGTAATAGTAACATAATGGCCAATAATTAATAATATTTATAATATTATTTTGTGTCATTGGTATTAATTTTAAGAACATGAAATACTGGATAGCTGGTAATTAAATATTTTATAGGTGCAATTTAAAGTATTATGAAATATTATACTCACTGTAAAATAGTTGGATGTACTTCGTTCAATGAGAATATGTGAGTAACAAGCTGATTAATACGTGTTTTAATAATATTCTTTAAATTGGGTCTAACTGCAAATAGTTCATTATTTTTATCATTTAAAACGGATGATTGACCTTTGGTAAAATCTTCTAATCGCACCACACGGTTTCCATATCGATCAACTCTTGATTTTTGATTATCTATTTCTAATTTTATTTTTTTTAGTTGATTTTTTTCTAGAAACAGTTAACAGACATTTAATTAATTAGTGGGGAAAATGAAACGCAAAATGTTATTTAATGTTGGTGTTTGATATTATGAAGGCACTAATTTACAGTATTTTTGTAATTATTTCAAGATGAAATTGTTATTTTTAATTTAAATAAAACCAAATAGAATAGATTTTATGATTGACATACATTAAAGTAAAATACATAGAAATTAAATTATAGTATTGGGATCACCAAGTTTATTTTAAGATAAATTGGACGATATTAAGGTACTTTGAATGGAAAAAAATGAATAAATATGATAGGTCAGTATTTTAAATAATATTCCATTATCTACTTTATTTAAATTATAGTAATTTAAAAAAAATCTAAGGTATTCATAATTGTGACTTCATGACGATGGTTATATTTATGTTAGTGTCATATTTCTTACTATCTGTTAATATTTTGTTTTTGTCCGATAAAGCAAGTTTCAATAATCTAATTTTTTCTTGTAATATTGAAGTTTCTGTTTTCTAGAACATAAAATTAAATATAAGTAGAACACTAGAACTAATTCACTTTTGAAACATTTATTTGAACATTGGAACTGTAAATAAATATTAGTTATACCTTCAAAGTAGTACACTGTCTTTTTGAAAACATTTTAGCACACTCATTTTTGAACAAATTAGAACTATAGACAATACTTTGAAATTTCATTTGTTTTTTGAAAAACCTAAAAAAAAAAAGTTAAGGTAAAATATAAGATAATAATAATAAATATTTATAAAAATGTTTAAAAATTATGTTTAATATTTTAATTACTATTTAATTATAAATATAATGATTAAGTATAGGTACTAGGTAGGTACTGAAATGGGTACATCTAAAATAAGATTGCAAAAGGTTGCAGTATTTATTTGTGGAAACTTTCACAATATTGACTTGGATATAGGTAATCAATGAAACACAATTTTATTCAGAATTTTTACACTTTTAAATTTTTTTATGGACGTAACTATACACTTTTAAGATTTAATACTAATGCTGTGTTGTATAAACAATCAATTAACATTTAATCAATTAATACTGAGATAATGGTCCCTTAAATATGATTAAGTGGAATGATTGGTCCATTACATTTCTAATTAAATTGAATCAATTTTTTCTAAATAGTTTACCTACTTAGTATTTATTTTAACAATTTATTTAAACATTCATATGGTTGATGAAATTATGATACATTTTTCAAGGTAAAAAATTCCAAAAATACCTTTATGACTAAAATGTATTTTACAAAAGAAATATTATATAGTGCTTAATACCTATGCCCATAAAAAATAAATATTTTTCTGAGATCAATAATATTTATTTATTAATTACTAAGGTAGTAGAGTAAAGTTGTATGAATACATTAAGTTTTCTGGTTATAATATTACAACAGTTAATACTATGGAAGAAATGTGTGAAGATCAAATATATAATTTTATAACGTATCTCAATAAAACATTGAAATTAGCTTTAGGTATAAGTGCTGGTAAATATAAATTGAAATGTGCTTAAATATCTATTTGGTCAGTAAGATTTTAGAGCCATTAGGCTGTTGACCGTGGCGCAATCAATTGGATAAATTACCACACACTACATTATAGTATATATTATACATTATCGAAGATATTATTTGAAAACAAAAAATTTATAAAATGTCAGTGGAAAATGGGTCGCTGAGATGGACTTGAAACCATTTGCAGGAGTGAACTGACCTGCCCTTGTCGAAGGCCGATGAGTGTCCAAAGTCACCGTTCCCAACGCAGGTCTTGCAGTGGAACAACTTGCGGAATCTATGGCACATCGGACACTGTTCGGTGCCACAACACCACTTCTGGCTGGTCTTTCGGCATCCCGGGACTCCGAACCCCTTGCTCGACCCTCCCGGGGCTGGGGCTGCAGCCGGAGTCGCGTCGGGTACCGCCGGGACAATCGTGGACGGTCTGTCCATCGGCGGTGGCGACGACGACGCAATAGAACGACGTCAACAGTAATAATTGTTATCGACATCGGACGAGACAAGTGGGGCGGCCATACGCATCAGCTACCCACCGACGTCGACGCGAAACGCCACTAAAACAACTACGACAATGTCTACTTTTGGCTATAATACGATCACGGAGACAAGGACGACAGCAACAACAACAACAACAACGCGTACTGACTACTGACGTACCTTTGACTTTTCTAGTATTATGGTACGCACGCACGCACAACAGCGCACCGCATGATTGCGTCCTTTTTTGATAGCGATCAGCTGACGTTGTCTCCGCCGTCGTGCGCCGCCGAACGAACAAGGCCGTCGACTCGGATTGGATCGGCCGCCGCCGCACTGAGTGAAAAAAAAAAACAAAATAATGTCAAGTAGTCGATGAGTCGATTGTGTGTTTCCTCTATCCATCCGAATGAACGAGTGCCCGACGATAGGCAACAATATACACGTAACACGAAATGAGAGCTAACTGTACTTATAAAATCACAACTGCTTGCCTGTTTAAACGGTTAGATTTCAATTTCGTAAACAGATTTGTAATCATCAGCAATAGGTACCTACTACGATTACAGTCAACAGTTCTTTTCAATGATATTATTAGGTAGATATGTTACATTGTTACTGTGGACTGTGGTGTGCCTATAGTACGTATTCGATTTGTTTCTTCGAGTTAAAATAAAACCTTAGCCATAAATATTAAATGCTACTATACTGTACAGCGTACGCACAATTTATTTCTGAATAGGTTTGGCAGGTTTGAATACCTGTTTGTTTAAGATTTTAAAATGAATTAAAATAAATAATACACATTTTAACTTAAGCGACCGTGATAAATCCACTATGACCTACTGTCTTCATTTTTTAATATTTATTGGAATTTTTACCTTCAAACAATAAACAGTCAGTCTAAATATACATGCGCATTAAAAATGTATGCATTTGTATGAAGTAATATCTATCAATAGTGTATAGTTACCATGGAAAAGGTTATACTAGTGTAGGTAGTACATTAGTACTATTATATTATTTACCAACCTACTCTTTTTATTGCCCGGTCGATATCATCTGATTAGCACCACGCAATGTAGCAGTGTATGTAAAAATTAACTAATACGAATATTATTTAAAATTTTATTAATATTATTTCGTATTCGAATTACTATAATATACATGTAATAATATAATGTGTATCCATAGTAATTATTACAATATTGGAACATATTACAAAGGTTATATTTATGAATTATGTAATCATATTATATACTAATATATTATATACCTACTCCGATACTACCTACTCGTAACTCGCAACCTACTCAAATTATACAAGTAATTACAAAAAATTAAATTGTTTGTACCTATAGTTATTGAATTAATTCGTCAAAAAACTAAATCCAAGGTATCATATACGATATATCTACACGACTACACTCTACAGTTTCACACTTTATTTGTATTAAGTGATTCTTAATAATGTAAACAAAGTGAAAGTTAATATAGTTACAACATCGATTACAATTTTTTACGGATAAATGTGTACGGTAAATTAAACATATACAAAAGGTAATATTTTTATAATTTTTGAATTTTAAGGGTGTGAGATAAAGACAGTGCACTCATAGTACGTCTCACTTGGGTACCTAAATCAATTTAGACCACTGCTGTTAAGTTATATTATTATTAATATATATATCTACTTGTGTTTTATAAGACCTTGAAATAGACTATAGTATTAGACAATCACATAGGTATTATAACGGTGTATAGATATTTAGGCATACATGATCTTATATATTTTATATAGGTAGGTATGTTTCTATGGTAACACGTAAACTACCTACTGTGTATTATTTAGATTTCTTCGTGACCATTTGAAGGATTTCAATATTTTACTAGTCAATAACAATATTTCCAATACCATGAGTCCATCTCCAAAAGTCGTCGTACAAAGTATAATAACGTATTCAACTATATTCCAAGATAAAATAATACTAAACACATTACCTACAAATTTATTTCGTCCACCAAAATAGCTTTTGATAACTATGCGAAAAGTCAGTTGACATTCGTGCAGAACATAGCAGATCTAGCGGCCAAGCCTGCTTATGTCGAATGTTTATACGAAAGCCACGTTGTAGAAATAGTTCTACCATTAGTGACTAATATAAATCCTACCGTGAGAATGAACGCAGTATTGTGTTTGGTAAGATTGGCAGGTAATAGCGAACCGTGCGCCAAACAAATAGTATGTTCAAAAAGTCTACTAAGTCGGTTACTAGGACAGCTTGTAAAGGAAAATGTAAGTCAACTTTTATATTAATATATTATAATTATATTATAATTATAGTAATTATAGACTACCTAATACCTATATAGTACAGTAACATTAATTATTAGAGAATGTGTATTTTCTGTATTACGCGTGTTTGTAACTATTTTAAAAGAGGCAAGAAGATCATTCGAGCCTATTTACGTCAAAAGTGGTTCCAGAAAATGAGAAAGGCTCGATTCCTGTTTCCACGAGATCTTTTTTGTGAACCATTTAGGTGCTATGTAATGTAAAAACGTAATCCGGAGTGATCCATTTAACTTAACTACGTAAGACACTCATATTTTCTGACAACATTAACGTTTTTGCTTAATTTTAAGTCGTAAAAAAACAATTTTGGAGAACAATTATACTTTTTATTGTTATCTTTTTCTAGATATCCTACTCTTTTTAATGACGACATACATTTTTAATTTCATTGTCCAAAGCAGAATATTATTTGGAGTATTTTGATCTATACAAATTAAATTTCGGACACGTACTTTATTAGTTATAATAAGTATTAAAGTATAAGTACCCATAGGCTATAAGTACCTATTTTAAGTTTCGATAAGCGGAGTAGTGGATCAACATAATATTGCGGGGTAACCCAGCACCACTCCATATCATTCCACTCATTAATACTTGATAAAAATGTCTAAGTTCTGTTATAAACCATAGACTCGTCTAAAATTCGATTTGTGTGTATCAACGCACTCCAAAAAATATTATACTTTAAGGACTACTAAGATTAGGTAGGTTAGACTAAGGAATTAAAATTTGGATGTTGTAAAAATTGCATGTTGTCACTAAAAAGTAATTTTTTTAAGAATAATAACAGTATGTGAAAAATATTTTTTTAGAAAAATGTTTTTTTTAACGAATTTAAATTATATATAAAAAATATTTTTAAAAACGTTAATATAGATTTTGAAATCATAAGTTTTATTAAACGGATCACCCGATGTATGGTTCCCACAACAAAAATAATAATGTTTTAATCATTAAATAATTGCATATTCATAATGAACATGAAAAAATATTTTTTGTATTTTATTTATTTATTAATACGTATAATATTTGTATTTTTTTGTACTAGTAACACTAACTGGATTTTTGTTAGTGTTTGATAATTATTTATAAATTGTAAGCGCCGTAGGTGCAGGCTCCGAGAAAATTCTACTAAATTACTTAAAGTTACCAAACGTAAGGTTAGGTAAAATAACATTCTTGATTTTCTAGGAATCTATTTAAAGTTGTCTTTATAGATGTAACTTCTCATAAACTATAGTTCATACTAAAGCAAATTAAATATAAATTTAAAAAGATACAAACATTTTTGGATACCTGTTTTTGAAATAAAATTTTTATTATTAATATAATACTTTTACTTTTATGTTTTATTTTTTTTTTTTTATAGAAATATTATAAAAAAAACTGCATGAACCTTGTTAAAAATCTTAGTAAATATTCATCTGCAATTACTGAAATCGTGATTAGAGAATGTGGAGGAATAGACGCTATTTTGATGTGCATGAAAGAATTTGATTCTTTTGTCAGAGAAGCAGCTATGCAAGCAATTACCTGCATTGCCCGCCTAGACGTAAAACTATCACAACTAATCGTTGACTATGGTATTTATTAAAACTATACATAATTAATTAAAATATGTGCTAAATTATTTTTATGGATTTGGTTATCATTATAATATATAGTTGATATTTACTTTATAAATTTGCATTATTAAATGTTCTGTGAACATAAAAACAATCCATGATCAAAATGGGTTTAGTCAGGTTTTGAATATTGGAGAGATTTTAATAAATTCTGATCTGAAGCTACTTTTTCAAACGGAAATGAACTAAAACCAACTTTTAAAATCTATGATATAAGATTCTGTTTAATAGGTATTGAGTTTATCTTGTCATTGAGCATATGTCATTGAAATGGATTTGTTAAATTCGAACTTAATGATAAATCATTGTACCTGCAAACATATGAAAAACGATTTTGACGACTGTGTGTCCGCATTGACATGGGGTAACAGGGTGACTATTTCTGAGGGTATATTAGTATGTATTTCTATTATTATTTGTAATTTTTTTCTGACAATACGCAATACGCTGAACTATGGTCTTTAAAATTCTATTTCTAAACCATATAATACAATTTTGAATATCACGACCAACTTTCATAAGTGTTGGTCTTATGCAACCTAATCAAGAACCTATGTCCAATTCATCCTGTGAAAATCATCTTCATTCCACCAAAAACAATAATTAATGAAATCAGGCCACTCTACCTACGAGGCGTGACAGTTATTACTTATAACGTCTTATAAGTGTAAAGTGTGCTTTGAGTAAAATATCACAATTTTTATTTTTGGTTGGTCACGACGGTGCCATTGACATGTGTATCTTCAGTGCGTGCGTAGATTGTTCCGGTGTGTTTGGAATATGTAGAACAACTTTTGGAACAGTAAAATAGTTTGTACATTTTTTTTGTTTAAAATTCTTAAAATTATCAATTTTAATTGCTAAATCTTAAAAAATAAATACAAGTTTTCATAAGTCGGTTTTATAATTTATAGCATATTAAAAATATCGAAAATATATAGGCACCATTTTTTTTATAGACATCAAAAGTTCTAAGTTTGACGAAATTATAAATTTAAGTGAAAAATAATTTTTTATTTAGCGAAATGATCAGACGAACATTTATAAATTAACAGTTAATCAATATGTGTGTTTGAATAATATTATACCTATTCAAGTTCTGCCTACACTGGAACATATTTATAAACACTGGAATAACATACATGTTTTGTATTTTCAGGTGTATTACCTCAAATTGTTCTATGTTTAAAAGAACAACAACAAAGCTTAAAATTATATGCT